TATATATATATATATACAATACTTGCATCAGTTACATTTTAGAAAGGGCAGGTCTCAAAGGGACACTGAGTCAGTCTCCATCCTGAGTGACCTCTCCTCGTTGTTTGTATATAAGCAAAACATCAGCACGTATTGTATCGTCATTGTCCACAGCAGACCCACCTGGAAACACTGTGGCCAATCACATAAGGTCGTTCTTACCTCGGGTCAGTAAAGGTTCGCCCTGTAGGGGACGATGTGTGTCTCTGTCACATTGTTAAATATGCTTACGTGGATGTTGTGGTCACTGTCCGTTTGTGCGGTGAGTTAATGTCATAGAGACACTGGAGCTCAGCTTTGTGCACAGAGTTGATTTCTTTTGACCGTCTCCACATTTACACCTCGCTGTTATGTTTGTTGTTTTATTTTAAGGAGTGCCTTAGTATTAAGGATTAGTAATTGCTCTTTATAGAAGCCATTTCATGTAAACTGTTTGATTTACTTTCACAGATTTAGCAGCACATACTGCATACAGTATTTTCTTTTGGCAGGTCATTGTGTATAGCATCAAGTATGTAGTGAAGTTGTGGATGTGGCTCGTAAGATGAGTTGTAAACTGATCTTGAGATCTCGTGTCAGTCTGACAGCACACTTCTTTTTATCATGGTGTCTAAATTTGCACTGTCCTCAATATCCTAAAGAAGCAGGAGTATGCCTTGTAATTGCCGGTGTCATCACGGCCAACCTTCTCATCTTACCATGGTTTCTTACCCACTATACACCAGTCTAACAATCACACTGACTGGGACAAGGTGCTAAGTTTTCATCGTGAAATGTTGAACATGTTGTGAGACATTTTTAGTTTATTTTTGTTTGTTGTTTTGTTTTGTTTGTTTTTTTTTTTGTTACATAGGTTTGTCTGTTTTGTTCTGTAAATTAAGAAACACTAGCTGAAAAATGAAACATGCCAAAAGAACTTGTTTTCGGCACAGCTTTACAAATACATGTGTTGTTTTTTCTGTGAGTGCGTAGAGAGGCAAATAAATCTTATTTTGAGTGTATTTAATCATTTCATGTGTGGTTGATTATGCGCTGTTTATTTGAAATAAAAATATATTTAAATTTTCATTCCATTTGTTTTATATTGCTGTTGCTAGTTTGCAATTTCAGCTTGTGAGACTACAGTGTGAAACCTTTGGACATATCTGACACTGATATATTGGTACTGGTGCTTTTGTCCTTCTGAACTGAAGAGGAAGCTGTTTATATCACAACATGGGTTGCTGATAGGTTTATTTAGCGTGGCTCAATGATGAAGTAGACCAATAATAAACCAAAGGAAACTTAAAGGAATACTTCAGCCCCAAAATGGTCATTTGTTTGTCAGTAACTCAACCAGTGTGACCTTAAGTTCATGAAAAAAACTTGCATGCCTCAGCAGTGAACGAAGAATCCAAAAACAACGAAAAGTTCTTGACCTGAGTCACTGGAGACTGCATTTAAAAACAGCAGAACTATATCAAGACTTCGGGTTACAAACTAACACACTGTGCAGTATAATCCAAATTTAATTTTTCCAGTTATATGCTCAGCACTTCTAGCCTGGAAATCCCGACTCAAATCTAGAAAGATTTTGAGTCTGGCCCTCACTGATACACCCCGGCACTAACTGAGGCATATTAAATGCCGCCGCACGCAATTGGATAGCACGATGGCCAATCAGAGCAAAAAACAAGGTGAGATATTCATTGCAGTAAACCCCATTGGTTTGCTGACCAGTGGGGCTAATTGATATATTATGCTTTTGCCGTATCCCGTTGGCAAAAAGGCAAAAACGTCCTTCCTGGAAGCGAAGGCTTCTAGGGCAGTCTTCTGTTCCTCTCAAGGAAAAAGATAAGTGTAGTTGGCTTAGTGTTTCTTCCAAAGCTGAATTGAATGGACGCGATCCTTCGGCAGCTGCCATCTTGGCTGTTTACTTTTTGACTCCTACAGCGTAGCGCTGTCGTCATCATGTTACGTCCGCCCAGAGCCTGCCTCTGTCAGATAGGCTGATCTGATTGGTCCGATGGCGATTCAGCGGGCTCTGCTCGTCAGGGTCAGATCCCCGTGCAGAGCAAGTTCAGACTCCATCTACAGAAACAGTAATTTTACCTCGCTGAACATGGGAGCTGCCTCAATTGATAGTCTGTGCTATTGTGTGACTTATCTGAATCTGAGTAAACCATTTAAAACAGTGGTTCCCAACCGGTGGGTCACAGGTCCATTCTGAATGGACCGCAAGTGACTCACAAGCATATCAAGTTTGAAAAAAACACAATTTATTTTTAAGTTCAATGAATTTTGGCACAGAGCTTTTATTTTGAAGTGCTGTTTCCTGCTGTAGAGTGAGTGACTAACAGACAGATACTTGACAGAGACGGCAAACTAGCTCGATGACATGGCAAAACACAAGTATGACGTCGAATGAATTAAACTGTGTGGATCTTGAATTAATGACTATGGAGAAATCTGGACCCTGTGGCTGGACTAGTTGGGAACCACTGTTTTAAAAGAACAGTCACACAATAACACTAACTGAGGCAGTAGTAGAGCAGCAGCTCCCGTGTTCAGGGAGGTAAAATTATTGTTTTTGTCAATGGAGTCTGGCGCTGTAGACAGAATTGATAATCATTTGTAGTTCAGTTCCCTGCTGAAAAGCTGCGTCTGTTTGGCAAGTACTGAGCATACAACTGGATAAATGAGACTTTGATTATACTGCATGAGTTGTGTGAGAGTTTCTAAATGGATGTTTTGATATATGACCCCCCTTTTACTTAAATTCATCATGAATGTTTGCCTCTTTTGGATTCTACATGCACTTCAGAAACATGTGAATCAACTATTTCCTTCAGGAATTTAACGTAACATTGGCAAGTAATTGACAAACCAATGGTCACTAAGGGTGAAGTATTTCCTCAAAGCCTCTGTGTGGGGTTTGAAATTGTCTTTGGAGACTCCCAGTGGTGGTATCAACAATTACACTATAGGTAGACAGCAATGCAAGGTGCAATAAAGGTGTAATGTGTGTAAAAAAACACATAAAACAATCAACCACTGATGAAAATAATTATGTACCTAATGAAGAACATCTGAAAGAGTGAGAATAATGTATTTCACATTATATATACGTGTGATTTCTGTGATATGATGCAAATTTTTGTCCACCTTTTGAACTCTTATTCCACCTCGCCTTTCTCAAAGGTGCAACAAGAGATCACTGGTGCAAATCTTCAGTAAGGAAGACTTCATTCTTTAGACTTTACGCAGACTTTATGCTTACATGCCATGTCTGTTTGTGTGCTGTGCGTCTCCCTTGCTCTCGTTCCTTCCCTCTTGCTCAGTCTGTCTCTGTTCAGATCTTATAATCAGCTGATGCCGCTCACAGTTTACATCCATCTCACCTGTGCATACCAGAATTAACACTCTTGGCTTGACTGAAATCCTGCAGTCAAATCCAGGGTTGAATGGCAGTTTGATAAAGTAACTTTGTAGATTAGCTGCATGTGTTTGTTTAGTTTGGACTTTTGTTTCATGTTTTCTGTGTTGGCATCTCATTGACCTGTGTTACCTGTTTTCCTAGTGGTGCTCTGTCAATACTGTAAATGCTATCCATATTGTAAATAAACACCCACATGCCTCTATTTTGAGACACACTATTTTGTCTCATCTGCTTTGTTTTTTGTATCCACTTGGCTGGGATCATTGTTCAAGTGCCCACAGAACATTTTAAGTGCATAAATGCCATCTGCTGTTCATTCTTGGCTGTCTATGCTCAGTGCGGCTGACATTTGTCTTGTCGTCTGCTGTGTAAATGTTCTTTTGAGGTAACACCCATCTGTTTTGGCTGTGAACATGATACAACTGTGACCTTATTCTTGACATGGCTGAGAGGTCAGGTGGAAGGCCACATAGGTCAGACATGGGCGAGTATACGTCGCAACTGTTCTGTGAAAACTGTCTCATCACGAAGATATGTTTAATGGAATTTTATGTAACTCTATAGTTGCTAAACAGCATATAGCCAGGTGCTGTGTGCCTGTGTGCTGCCCTCTGCTGCGTTGTGCTCCACGTGACAAACGATTCAAGGTAAGTTAAAAACATTCTCGTATGTTGCCTCCATAATACACATTAGTGATCTAAAATGTTTGGATAAAATGCAGGACAGTTCTTCATTAATTTGTTGTCTTTTTTTTTTTTCCTTTTCTCAGTATACTACCAGGAGCATGGAAACCAAACACAGTAGCAAGAACAGGATGATGCAGAGGCAAGCAGCAACAGTGGATTACTGTCTGCTAGAGTTTCGGCGAGTTTAAATCAGGGTCCAGGCGACCTGCTGCTGTCAGTCATTGACACTGGGGGAAAGCCCACTCTAGAAAATACCATGGAAGCCA